TGGTTCGCGTAGGCCAGGGTGGACCCCACCGCCTTGAGCTTCTGGACGCGGCACTGGGCGTACTCTGCAAACTCGGGCGGCAGGACAGCTTGGGCGTCGGGGGACCATATCTGGGCCTTAGACATCTTGAGCTTCATCCCGTGGGCTTCGATGCGGGCGCGCCACGCATCCAAGCCACGGAACACGGCGGCCGCGGTGCCCACGAAGTACGCGTCGCCCAGGAAGGCTAAGCAGTCCCCTTCCATGTCCACCGCGCGCACAGCCACGCGGCCGATGCTGAGGGCATCCGCGGCACCGACCGCGTGGAAGCCTGGGCTCATCGGGCAGCCCTGGTCGAGGCCACGGATCTGGTCGACCAGCTGGGCGGGTTGCGACCCGCCCCCCGCCGCGCGGCGTGTTCGGGCGGGGGGCCAGGCTTCCGCCAACGGGGCCAGCGCAGGCACCTTGCTGCGCACGGCCTCCTTCACCAGGTCGCGGGGGATGTTGCTGAACGCATCCCCGAGGTCCACCGCCACCACCCACTTGCCTGGGCTCGAGTTGGCCATCGTGCATAGGCGTCGGCGGAGTGCACCACATCCGCCCTTGGCAAGGCCGAACTGCTGGTCTCCCACCGCCGTCCGCATGTCCTCGTGGTGGACTTTGGCGGCACTGCGGCCCACCATGCGGCAGGTGGCATTTCCACAGCCCAGGACTCGCACATCCCCAAGGGTTGCCTTGGGGATGCCTGCGAGGCGCGCCGCCGTCACGGCGGCTAGCGCCTCGGGGGGGAGGCCCCCGATGGCCAGTCGAGCCAGCGTGTTGGCCACCGCCTCTGCTCCATCGTCGTCGTGCTTGAGAGGGGCCCAGTGCTCGCAGCGTCCTCCTCCAGGCCCCGCCCCTCCACGGCGGGGGAAACGGCCAAACTGACGTTTGAAGTGGTTGGCCACACGGCGGTGGAGTTCCGCTGCGCCGTCGAGCTCGCGGGGAGCTGCGGCTGGCGGCATCGCCGCGTCGGCCCCCGCCCCTGCGGCCCCTCTCCCTGGCCCACGCGGGGCGGCCCCAGTGCCAGGGAGAGGGCACCACTCGCCTGGGCGAGGCGCCTCGGGCTGCTGGGTGGTGCTGAACTTCCTCACCACCGCCGCTGCGTCCGCCATGTCCCCCTGGGGCCACACTGCCGCCGCCGCCCGAGACATCTCTCCCGCTCGTGCGAGCTCGGTGACACGGCGTACACGGGCTGCGACGTGATCCGCGCGGCCCTTCGCGGTGACCGCGGTGCGCGCCTGGCCCCCCATGGAAAGCCAGGCGACGTCCCACTGGCCGTCCTGGATCCACCGCAGGCGCTCCTGGAGGCGCTCCCGTCGCGTCGTCGGGGTCGGGGTCGCATTTTCGCTGAACAGCAGTCCGTCCAGCGAGAGGAACACCTTCCACAGCCTCGTCAATGCGCTCGACGACTGAGCGTCGTCGCCCTGGCGGGCTTGCTCAATTGCCAAGCACAACCGCACCTTCACGTGGCTGACGGCTGCCGCCATGCTGTTGGGGATAATGACTGTGGTGGGCGCCCCTTGGAGCAGGATGCGGCCCCACCCGATGGCATCCCACCAGTCCAG